GAGAAGACAATAATTAACTTACAACTCAGAGAAGCATCAAACTTAGAATTACAAAGAAAAATTTATTGTGAGTACATCATTTGGAATGAGATAATGCAATGAGATGATACAATGAAATTCGACAAATTCGAGGCCTTTACACTTTTCAGTGACTAAGCGCTATAGTCTAAGTTCAGTCAAATTTTTTGTCGAGGGCTGACTAGACTCAGGTAAACCTAGAGACGTTGCGGACAGGCAATTTGTACTCCGGGGACCGGCTTTGAGAAACACTGATCTAGAACATTATATGTATTCTAGGACTTACTTGGTCTTAACGTGATGCGTCCTCTAGCTAAAACTAAATTAAAACATTGAAAATATAGCTTACAACAATATCATAGGTATTATCTAGAATAGTAGGATACAGTACAAGGACTTTATATGTGTTGAAAGTATGGTAAAGACATAATCCTTTCACTTTAAGTGGAGTGACGAAATATATCTTCCTTCCCCAATACCCAGAGTCAGAATTACAGAAACCGACAGTCATACCCCAGCATATTTTGTATGTTTGTGTGCGTGAAGCAATAAAAATTTTTTCTTAAGTTCATACTTTGGATCTGAAGTTCTCTTTTGCTGTTCAAGTTGATTTTATTCTTTTGTGAGCAAATGTTTTCAAAACTTTAGTAATTTGGACTTGTCAGTTCCATTTTTACCTGAGAATACCAAACAGTTTTTATGGTATTCTTTAAACTTCCCTATATTACTAAAAATATAGTATTTTTGCCAGGAAGGTATCATAATATATATTCAAGAGATTTTTGTTTGTTTTAGAGCAAAGCCACATTGGGCTATCTGCTGTATCAACCGCAGGGGAATCGAACTCTTTATTTTAACGTTGTAAATCCGTAAACTTACCGCTGTCCCATCAGGGGATTTCAGCGATACATACATGGTTTCTATGCCAACAGGACTAAATATTTTTGATTTCTTATTTAGATACCTAGTTGTTTATGGAATGGCTACAAAATCCTTCGTATTAGAAGTTATAATATTTTAGGTGATTCGGTCTTTGAAGCGTCTTGTGGAAACGATTGTTATAAACATTATGTTGTAGAACATGCTATATATATATATATATATACGTTTAAATTCGTCAATTTTTTATTTTTGTCTGCACTGTTAGAAAAAGTATAGAGTTAAAAATAGTAAGATTTTAAGCCCTGACGTAGCTGAAAATGTAAGGCTTAAAAACCATTCCACTTGAGTAATGTAATTATTTTAAATACTGATCACAACTCTAGAAGATGCGGATTTTACGAAGGTTGGCACGTTACTGAATTTAAAAAGCACCATTTTGAATAGTGATATGGTACGAAAACCTATTTCACATGTATATGAACCTATACTTTCACTCAAGTTGAAAGTTTCCCATAAGTCGCGTCCTTATGGTACGTAATCGTTTTCGTTTTTCCTGGCAGTTATTTTGATTTAAAAAATAATTATCTCCTAAGAAATAATCACTAATCAAGGGTGCTCGAAGATTAAACAATCCTTCCTTCACCTTGCTCGTGGCATAAGGTTACATTTCAATTAGTGGTCAGCGGAGTAATGAACCGTATGGGCGAACGATAATTAATTAATTAATAAAAAAAATATACATATATATATACATTGGATGGT